CGGAAGAAGAACAAAGATCTACGGTTATGCATCGACTATCGCAAACTTAACTCACATGCCGTAAAAAACGCCGGCCCTCTCCCTCAGATTGATGATCTCCTTGAGCGGTTAGGCGGCGCGACGTACTTCTGGAAGTTGGACTTGAAGTCGGGTTACCACCAGATTGAAATCCAGCCTCAAGATCGGTACAAGACCGCGTTCAAGACACGGTACGGGCATTTTGAGTGGGTTGTCATGCCATTTGGCCTCACCAATGCCCCCGCGACTTTTCAAGCAGCTATGACGACTGAGTTTCGCGACTTGCTCGATCGCAGCGTCCTCATCTACCTCGATGACATCTTGGTCTATAGCAGGCCGTTGGACGAGCACATCATACACCTTCGCGCTGTTTTGAATCGTTTGCGACTGGCCAAGTACAAAGCAAACCGCGACAAGTGCGAGTTCGCCAAGCAAGAGCTTGAGTATTTGGGCCACTATGTTACGCCGAAAGGCATTGGTCCCTCAGCGGACAAGATCCAAGCCATCGTGGATTGGCCGGAACCCCGTTGCACGACGGATGTACGCTCTTTCATGGGTTCGGCTGGATATTATCAACGATTCGTCGAGTCATACTCGAAAGCGGCCGCCCCTTTGTAGAGACTTCAGTCCCCGAAGGTGCCCTTCGAATTCGACGACGCAGCCCGTGGCGCGTTCACTATGTTGAAGGCAGCAATGCAAGCCGCACCTGCCCTCCGTATATACGACCCCACCCTGCCCACCCAAGTGACTACGAACTCTTCCGGATACGGTATTGGTCAGGTGTTGGAACAGTGTCACGAGGACAGTCGGCATCCGGTAGAGTATTTCTCCCAAAAGGTGCCTCTCGTCAACACTCTCGACGACGCTAGGAAGAAAGAGCTACTCGCATTCGTCACCGTTCTCAAACGGTGGCGCCACTTTCTTCTCGGTCGTCGGCGTTTTATATGGAATACGGACAACAATCCGTTGACCTTTTACAAAACGCAGGATACGGTCACTAGCACGATCGGTCGATGGATGTATTACATCGACCAGTTCGATTTTGACCCGTGCCACATTCCCGGTCCCGCCAATCGAGTTGCGGACACCCTCTCACGACGGCCCGATTTGTGTGCCATTGTGACCACGGCATTCGACCTCGAGGACGATCTGCAGCCGCATTTCGTCAAAGGCTACAAGTCCGATCCGACTTACTCTACGCTTTACGCGGAGCTTTCATCGGATAACCCGCCGGCTAGCCACTATCGGATTTCCGACGAGTTCCTTCTCCTTCACACGAGAGGAAAGGACTTGTTAGTTGTGCCCCAAGATCGCATCTTACGGACTCGTCTTCTCGGCGAATTCCACGACGCACGACTTTCGGCACACCTTGGCGTGAACCGTACATTAGAACGTCTCCACCAGCGTTTTCACTGGCCCGACGTCCTTCATGACGTCACGAGGTACATTGAGTCATGTGCAGTTTGCCACCGTAAAAAGGGTCGATCTCGAGTCCCCTTCCGCGAACTGAAACCATTGTCGATTCCTCGGGCACCGCGCCTCTCCATTGCTATGGACGTGACAGGCCCGTTCCCCCGCGATCGCCATGGCCATGACGCTATTTTCACGGTTGTTGACCGTTTGAGCAAGTATGCTCGCTTCCTTCCTTGCAAGTATCATGTTGTAGCGCCTGAGCTCGCACTACTCTTGCACACCGGTTGGATTACCAACCARGGTGTTCCGGAAGACATAGTGAGCGACCGAGATACTCGCTTCATGTCGGCCTTTTGGACTTCCCTCATGGCCGAGTCCGGTACGATAATGAAGCCGAGCTCGGCTCGGCACCCGCAGACGGATGGCCAGACGGAGCGAGCGCACCAAACCGCTCAGATGATGCTGTGTACGCTCATCCGTCCCGACCAAAAAGATTGGGTTGACCGGCTTCCCGACATCGAGTATCCTATAACACTTCGGTGCACCCGGCGATCTGCGTCACACCATTCGAGCTACATCATGGTGGAGGAAAAGCACGGATCTTCGCTGATCTCCTTTTGCCACAGGCTGCCGACATAGACGTCCCTTGCTCTCCCGCTTCCGTTCGGAAGTACCGGGACTTGCTGATCAAAGCCC